CAGCAGGATTTAGAACGTACTCCTGAACCCAGAAGAGGTACTAGAATTGCAGGTAATAATATTAAACCGACTGTGGAGAATAAAGATAAGAATAAAATCAGAATTAAAAGACCTCCCAAATCGGCGGCAATTCTGGTAACTAGTCAAAAAAAGTCTTACTTACGCAGAGGCTCTAAATAAGGCAAGACTAGGTGTGTCACTAGGGGATCTAAAAATCGATTCCACTAAAATTAGGAAAGCCGCCAATGGCGGAATGATTATCGAGGTTCATGGACCCGAAGGATCGGCTAAAGCGGATGTCCTAGCAGAAAAACTAAGGGACATATTTCAGGATCAAGCTAAGGTGGCGAGACCGACTGTCAAGGGAGAAATCCGGCTGATAGGGCTAGACGACTCGGTTACCATAGACGAGGTGCTTGATGTTATATCCAAAAACGGAGAGTGTAGGGTGGATGACATTAAGACCGGTCCCATCAGGCCCATGAAGAATGGATTGTTTACTATCTGGGCACAGTGCCTTTTAACGGCGGCAATCAAGATAACCGATAAAAAACGCATCAAGATTGGGTGGACTTTAGCTAGAGTGGATCTCTTAGAAGCTAGACCGGTACAATGTTTTAGGTGTTGGAAGTTTGGACACGTAAGATTGGCATGTACGTCTGAACTGGATTTTAGCAGGTTGTGCTTCAGGTGTGGAGAGCGTGGACATCTAGCCCGGGACTGTAGCTCCTCCCCCATATGTAAGCTTTGTGTAGGGGAAGGTAAGGACCCGAACCATAGACTGGGCTCCAATTTCTGTAAGGCGGATAACAAGATTAGCAGGCTTAGAACTAACTTTAACAGTACCAGAGGTTTTAGCTCTTATCCGGTGCAGGAAGGTCACATGATGAATATAGATGGCAATTAGATTCATACAGGCGAATATGAACAGAAATCCGGGTGCTACGGACTTACTCATGCACCAGGCTAGGGATCTTTCGGCTGGCGTATTGATGATCTCGGAACCCAGTTATATCCCTAGATCGGGAAACTGGTTTAAAAGCCCGGACGATGCTTCTGCCATTTTTATTGACAATCATCTGGTAAGACACAGATGCCAGCTGGCCTGTGCCGGTCCTGGTTTCGTGGCGGTATATTGTAGTCCATTTTTGTTTATCTCGGCGTACGTCTCCCCTAATCTAGGCCTAAAAGAATTTAACAATTACTTAAACGGATTGTCACGTCCACTACTGACCAGAGCGGACAAAATAATTATCTGCAGCGATTTCAACGCGAAGGCTGATTTATGGGGATCACCCATCACAGATGGTAGAGGCCGCCTTTTAATCGGATGGGCAGCAGAGAAGGAGCTTTGTGTTGGCAATAGAGGGGAGACTCCAACATGTGTACGGCCTCAGGGAAGCTCTATTGTGAATCTGACATGGATTTCCCCAGATTTACTCCGATTTATTAAAAACTGGAAGGTCCGGGAGGATGTCGAGTCTATGTCAGATCATAATTATATTACCTTTGATCTCTGTTCGGAACACATAGAAGCACCCTCAAATCGCTTATTACTCCGCGGCTGGAGCATTAAAAGTCTGGATGAAGACCTTTTCCAAGCTGTTCTTGCTTGGAGAGGCGAAGGCCCGGGCATAGAGATCCAACGTGATGTGGACAAATTCATTAAATGGATTGACAAGACTATGGAGGAGGCATGTGACGCAGGTATAAATAGGATTGGTCCACGAAAACCGAAAAAACAGGCATATTGGTGGCAGGACTCTGCCGCAGCTGTTCGTCGGGATTGCATATGCGCTAGGCGGCTTCTACAAAAAGCGAAAAAAAGGAGTCGTTCTCAAGAGATTATCAACAGGCTATCGGCGGATTATAAAATAAAGCGTAAAAATTTAAGAGTAGAAATAAACAGATTAAAGTCTATAGCATAGCAGGAACTGTTAAACTCTGTGGATGAAGATCCTTGGGGTCTTCCTTATAAGCTGGTTTTTGGCAAATTAAGGCTAGCGGCTCCCGGACTCACAGAGGTTCTGGATAGGGAAACTTTAGAGAAATTACTAAATTCTTTTTTCCCTAGGAACTTTGAGGTAGATACGGCACATGATTGGTCGACTTTTGTTTGAGCCGACGAATGGGATATTACGATTGCCAAAGTTGATAGGGTTATTAGGAAATCCATGCCGAATATTCCCCATATTGCCACGCTTTTAAGACGTCAAATTAAAATTCATACCGATCATAAAGCGTTAAAATTCATAACGGCCTGCGCGGATGATAGCGCGAGGATCGCCAGATGGATGGCATTCCTAAATAAGTTTGAATTAGAGATTTGCCATGTGCCAGGGGCACAAAATAAAATTGCAGACACGTTGTCGCGTAACAACGTTAAGAACGGGTACGCAAAGAAGGAAGGTAAAATTAAACATATCGCGGCAATTACACAGCCGAAAGATGAAATAGAAACCGCATCGTGGGTGGACATGCTCGGAAAAGCGCAGCGCGACGACGAAATTCTACGAGAAATAGTCGCGGAAGCGTCGAGCAAATTTTTATCGAGAGAGGGACTTATTCGCGTAGAAACACTGAAAGGAGAGAAAATCGTCGTACCGGAGGCTGTCAAATGGCAACTCACGAACAGGGTGCATGATTATCTACTGCATTTCGGAACGGATAAAGTCACCGAGTTTATGGAAAGATTTTTCGCGATTAGAAACCTAAAACGCGTAGTAAGGGACGTTGTAGCGTCCTGTAGCGTTTGCCAAGCGACAAAATATTTCACAAGACCGACGCGCGGAACGGAATACTACGTATTGCCGGAAAAACCCGGAGAAGTAATTTCGATCGATCTGTTCGGACCTTTGCCACAGACACCGCGCGGAAATAAATATATTTTGGTAACAATGGACCAATTTTCGAAACTAACGAAACTGTATCCGCTAAAAAATCAAAAGTTAGAATCGATAATCGACACATTGCAAACGGAACATTTTGGTAGGGTCGGTATTCCGAGAGAGATACTGTCCGATAACGGGGGACAGTTTATTACCGCGAGATGGCAGGAATTTGCGGCGAATATGGGTTTTTCTATTAGGAAGACGTCGCCGTACAACCCTCAGTCCAATCCAGTGGAGAGGGTGATGAGAGAGCTGGGACGCATCATACGCGTCTACGCACACGACCGTCAAACCGGATGGGACCGAATCGTGAAACGAGCTGAGAAAACTATCAACTCGACATCTCACCGCAGCACCGGATTCAGCCCCAACGAGCTTCATCCAGAACAAAACGAACGACTGTTCGTCGATCCGAGACTGAAGCCACTCGTCGAGGAAGGACGAAACGAAGCCGAGATATTAGCTGAAAAAATAAGAACTGCAACGACGATGTTGCAGAGGAGAGCCATGCAGCGAAAAATTCAAACTGATAAGCATGGTGAAGCAAAGAGGTACCAAGCGGGCGACAAAGTGTGGATTAAACTCCATCGTCGAAGTGACGCGAATCGCAGATTAACGCGAAAGATTTACTTAGTGTACGACGGACCATACGAGATATACAGCGAAGTACGCAGAAACGCTTATGTGGTAGGAGACTTGCAAGGAAACGCCTTGGGAACGTTCAACTCGAGACAATTGAAGCCACACAGAGAGACAACTCTAAACAATCGAGTCGAGGTAAACATGTTAAAAACCTCGAAGAATATTAAGAAAATTGAAATGGGAGAGATCCAAGATTTCATAACCGACATGCAAAAAGAGTCGGAGAATGAGAAGGAACGAACGAGCGAAGAGATACTTACCGGTGATAATCCAACGCTGGAGAACCTTGATGATCCAGAGCCAAGCGAAACCGGGAACGGAAGGAACCTGAAAAAAAGAAAAAGATCATTAATCAGCGAAAAGGGAAGAAGACACATCTCAAGATTGATTAATCTGATTTCTGGGGAGAAATCCATACCATCCTTCGCAGGAACAGCTGAAGGGCAAGAAGTGAGAATTCACTTCGACTACAGAGGCGAGTTCAACGTAATTTCAAGTACGTTGGTTGAAAGCATTGACACCAACGTACATAAATTAAACCGCCTCACGGAATCGAAAAATATTCCAGCTTACATGAAAAGAGAAAAGAAGGTGAGCTTTAAAGCTGTTAAAGTGAATATAGTCATTTCCCAAATAACAGCCAACGTGGAAGCAATGATCTTGGACGTGGATAAACCCTGCATACTATTGGGCAAATTCACGTGCCGAGAGATAGGCAGCAAAATTAAAGAAAGGGAGAAGCGAATGGAATCTCCATTAACCCGATGGAGCGAGCATCTATCGATGGAGTCCAGGAAGCGGAAGCTGCGAGAGAAAGAGGCTAAAGCACAACCCACAACCCTAAAAAAGAGGCGACACGAAGAAAGTGTTAGTGCGGTAGTGAATGTCGAGCCCCATATTCAAATAATCGAGCATTTTAAAAACAAAAGTGATAAAGATTCAGAAGTGCGCGAAACGATAACCGTGAAAGATACTAATAGTGCGAACGATATTGCGGAAAACGTTGCGAGAAACGTAGCGATAAAGAAAAAAGAAATTGTAACAAGCGATAGGCAAAGTGCGCGAAAGAGTGCGAAGGATGCCGAGAATGCGAGTGCGATATGCGACAAAACAAAAGGAAATGACATTCGACGAATAGAAATTAATAAGGACAATAAGTGCGAAACGATAAAAAGTGTGCGAGCGAATTTAGAAAATAAGAAAGATTATATGCGATATTTAAGCTTAAAAACTGTAAATAAAGAAAACCAATTAGAAGATAAGAACACTCGTGCGGAGAAAAATACTAATCCCTCGAGCGAGACATTTGCGATAGAATCTCGAGAAAAAATTGTAACTAACGGATTAGCAAATGATAAATGTAAAAATACAAGAGAACGTTTAAAATCTAAAGAAACGAATGATATAGAACCAAATGATTCTTCAAGGGATACAATAATAGTAAATTCGATTAATAATGAGAGAATAAATGAAAATTTTGATAATTTAGTCAAACTCAAATGTTTTAAAAAATTTGTTTAAGAATTTAAAAGGTTGGATAAATAAAATCAATGATTCGACTAGAGTAAATTTAGATGAAAGTTGTGGAAATTCATTATACAATTTGAAAAAATCATACGAAAATTTCAAACAATCAGCCACTGAAGAATTATCTGACAAATGGAAAGATAACAGCGGAAAACAGGCATTAGAAAGCGTAAGTTTAGGAGAATTTAAGTCTAAAGGACAAAATACTAGTGAGGAAAAACTTTCTAAAAAAGAGAAGAAGGAAAAAGAAACTTTAAATAATAATCTAGATTATAATAAAGATAAGGAAATTATAAATAAAGAAAATCCCGAAAAATCTCGAAACTGTAACGAAAATAGCGTTAAAATTAAAACGCGATCTAAATTAAGCGAAGACAATAATGTAAAATTTACTAAATTAAGCTATTTATGTAACAAGAACAAATTTTGCGATAAAGTTAGAATTCATGTAAAAAAGAAAAGAATTATAATAGTAGTAAGCTTAACGACAAGAAAGTAAACAATTTAGACAACAAATATGTCGAAGTTAAAGAAAATAAGTTAGATATAAGAAAATTACTAACGACTCAGGAAGATTTGGGAACAGCCAATCAGCTGGCTGGACAAGTTACTAGGGAGCGCGCGGACATAGAGAACGACCCTAAGACCATGATCCAAGATGGCCGACACAGTCGAGTGATCGAACGTACTGAGACAAGACGTAATAAAGCGAATTGGATAGTACGAGAAGAAATGGAGACAGAAAACGAAAAAAAGCAGAGAATCGAAGCCGAGGACGAGTTGGTATACGACTATTTAACGGATATCACTCTTGAAGCGGTACAAAAAGAATGAAGCGACAGGCTAACCATGCTCACGAGGTTATGCGAAAGGCAAGCGAAGGAGACGAGGCCAACGAGGAAGGAAGCCGAAGAGCTTCTCAGAGAGGAAAAGCAACGAACAGCAGACATAACTCAAGCCATCCTAGTCAAGTTGCAAAGCGAGAAAATGAATCGTACATTTTATAACGAAATCATTTTACCCGATAAAGCAGGTAATCCCGAGTATGAGGTTACCTCGATAATATCGGTTAAAAAGATAAAGGAAGAAATAACAACGTCAAAGATAATTAAAATCAACTTCACGATCGACGGAAACGAAATAACAAGATCAGTGAGGTACGGCGAGAAAAAGGACAGCGACACGTCAGATGACAAATCGGGGGAATACTCGATACACCCCGCGCAAGACGAAGACAAGGAGAACCAAAATGTCAACGTCCCAATAGAAGGTGACAAACCGAAAGTTATCGAAGATATCCAAATCAAACCTCCGGATAAAGAATCTTCCAAAAAAGAAAACCAAGACATACAGGTGGTAAAAGTACTAAAAACCATCGATAACCTACCTGCGAAAAAGGAGCTTCGCCGAGCTCTAAGTTCTCGGCAAAACCCCTTGGAGGGGGAATTGAGGCCGGAGGATAAACCCTCATCCTCGAAGACGGGCCAGGAAGCAGGGTCACCGATCCTGACGGTATCTAAAGGAAAGGTGACAAAGGTTCGTCCCGAGTTCCGAGATTCGGACTCGGACAGCGATTGGCAGCCGGTTCGAAGAAGAAAAGTGACGAGAAGATCAGCGAAGAAATAGAGACTTTCGCAAAACTGTAAATAAGACTTTTAAAAATACGTTTATTTTATGCATTTATGCAGCGCAACAAATTGTGATAAAGAAACAGTACAAAAGTGTAGTGAAAAGTTGCTACACTCGAAGTGCAGTACTTCTGCACCTTTTTTATTTTTTAGCATGTAGTATAGCAAAATGTAAATATTATATTTATTAGACACATAGTATAGATTTAGGCATAGTTTTAAGGAAAAAGCGATCCGAGCGATTTTTTCGGTTTTTACACCCGATGTGTAGCACGTAGCTACACATAGGGTATAGCTATACCCGAAGTATAGCACAGCATGCGCGCGCATCGAGGAGGCGTTCTCCGGAAGAGAGGGAAGCCGGAGAGCGGGAGTAGGAAGAGTGGGAAGGCGTACAAAAGGCAGTGCAGAGCACGATACGGGGCCTTTTTTCCCGATTAGGAAGCGTCTAGAAAAATACGTCTTCACGGGTTTTTTGTGTTTTAAAGAAGATAGTCGCGAATAGAACAACTCTCGTGCGGCGAGAGATTCGCGTCATTACTAATAAAGAAGGCAGTTTCATTTTATAACCGTAATATTGTACGGGAACTTTGATATACGCGACGTTATATTTTGAAATATATTTTATACATTTATGTATTCAAAATAAGAGTGAAAGTTATTAACTCACCTTGAAATCGCGAAATCCTTTCCTGTGTCCAAGTGTCGATCCAGCAGCGTACAGCGGGTAGTCCACACATCCATGGGCGTTGATCCGACGAATCCAGCGGCGACCTGAAACAAAAAATAAGAAGGGAATAATTAAGAAACAGATAATTTGTTCAACGGAATAACGTTGCACAAATAACGTCGTTCCGACGTATTCTTGAGGCGTCGAGAGAATTCCATACGACGGGTAGTCCACACATCCATGGGCGTTGATCCGACGGCGAATTCATTCAGCGGGTAGTCCACACATCCAAGGGCGTTGATCCAGTGAATCCAGCGGCGCCCTGAAACATAAAAGGAGAAGGGAATTAAGGATAATTCCTCAACATCCAAGCGGAGAAGCAGTGGCGTACAAACCAGCGTGATCCTGACGCTGCGCAACCTGTCCGACGGCAGACCTGGCGGGACGTCGTCCAAGGGCATCCCTTGTTCGTTGGAGGTAAAACGAACTGGCGACCGTTTAAATAAGGTAGAAAAACCTGCATTTATCGTAATTTTCTCTATCTCGTGTGTTTAGTCCGGTCACAACCTAACCTGGATCGGTCCCCGTTGAGGAGATACGCGGGGGTGCCTGGGAAAGCAAGGAGGACAACACAGGGCGTAGTCCAAGAGAACGCGGAAGCAGTCTGTGCAGGAAGGACGACCTGAGAGGCGTTTTGGAGCATCGATGGAGGGCCGTCTGAGCAGTAGAAATTAAGAATAGAATTAAGATGCGCGCATTATTAGAAATAGGATATTAAAATTATTATTAAGCATTTAAAAAACGTATTAAAAGCCGGAAAACGGTAGATTGATTTGAGTTAATATTAATAGCGCGTTAGAAACCGCACAGCGGTAGATTGATTTGAGTTATTTTATTTAAAGCGTTTATTTTGAGAGAATTATTTTGTTCGTGAAGATTTAGTTTGTACATATACTCTAGTCGAGAACGGATACCTGAAATAATTAAAAAAGTTAATAAGTTCAATTTATACGCGCTAATGAGGCGACAGATTAATTAGAGTACTTAGTATAAGGAATTATAACTAGATTAAGGTGTATACACATGTTCCGATTTTATTAGTATTTGTTTACGCAGAGTTACCTGTAAATACTTACCTGTAGCGGCATCGGAGTCCAAGGATACCTGTAAAAAGAGAAAGAATTAGTTGCATACATGTGAGACACCCGGTGCGTAGAAAGCATGGCGCGCGAAGCGGCGCGACGAGCGGCGCGAACACCGGTGCGCAACCAAAATGCGCATGTGCAAGAGTAGGGAACGAAGGGATGTGCAAGATCCGGCAGCGAGACTCTTGGTCAGTCGACGCGAGGCGATAGTTGAGAGAACACGTTATTCCGTTGTACGTTTAAGACCCGCGAACGGCGCGTGATCCGTTGTAGTTCGGTTTCCTGGATTCTGGCAAAATTCGGGAGACTAAAGTCGATAGTTCAAAAAGTTGATTGCGAATAATAATTCGAGTCACGGTTTTCAATAATAATTGTTATTTCGGCTCAATTGCGGGGCACCATTTCGTGATTTATTCACAAGTCTTATATTCAATAAACATATTCATTTTCAAGCTTCAATTCAGTGGTCTTATTTCGATCTTCGGGAACCCGGGGTGCATTCTTTCACAGGATCTTCAGGCTTCGCAGCGCTCGGCATCCCAGATTAGAAAAGATCGTATTCGAGGTGATTGTTCCGGCGAGAGGTGGTCAAAACCAAGGAGTTTCGAGATTCCCGGCCACCCAGTTCCTATATCGCTTGATTGAAGTCCAATCCTTGCTGTTTAGAGGGTAAAAACAGCTGGCGACCGTATAATGGACAGAGAATCCACATATTTCAATGGTATGAGTAAGTAATAAATCGGCTTGGCCGGTCACAACCTAACCTAACCTAGGGGTCCGTGGGGCGCGACTTGCTGCCGCGCCACCACGGCCGGAGGTCGTGGGGGGTCGGCGGGTCCTTCCGATAAACGGCTCTCCCCGCCTTTCCCCTCCGTCTCCACCGGCCACCCCATCTTGGGCGCCTTCTCCCCGGCGTCCGCCGGTGAGGCGTTCACGCTCTCTTTCGGCCTCCTCCTTCTGGAGCATAACCGCTTCACAGAAGGAGGAGACGGCCCTCCAGGATTCCTCGCTCTCGAGCATCGTCCTTACGATGCCCGAGAGCGAGAAATCAATATCCCCCCCCCCCAATATATCAACGAGGGCACGGCACTCGTTTGCCCACGCTGGGCACACCTCTAGCGTGTGCTGCGCCGTGTCCTCGTCCCCCCCGTGCAGTGATGTCAGCGCGTGCCGTCCTCCTTCACGATGCGACACAGGTATGAGTCGAAACACCCATGGCCCGTAAACACCTGTGTCGCACGGTACGACATCTCGCCACCCGCCCGATTGACCCACTTGATCAAATGGGGGTGGATGGCCTCGACGACGCGCCTCACCGATGTGTCTCGGGGGTTGGAGAGGTGTTCGTCCCACCTCTCCAGAGCGCGCCGTCTAGCTTGAAGCCTCACGGCGGCCTTGACCCTTGGAGTCAAAACCATGCCTAGCCCGCCGAGCTCACGCGTACGCGCATATATGTGCGCGTACATATTTGCGTAGAGCTCGACGGGCGCAATCCCTGCCAATTAAGAGGTCGCCGTGTGCGACACCGTCCTGTAACCTCGGACTACCCTGATGGCCACCCTTCTAAAAACGCGGTGCAGCAACATGCTGCCCCGCTTACTGGCCACCAGGGCGTCCGCCCACACCGGTGACCCATAAAGGGCCACCGCCTGGACGGTGTTCGCATAGAGGCGGCGCACCCAGCCATCCGGACTCCCAAGATTGGGCAAGAGTCGGCTGAGGCTAAGTGCCACCGACTCTGCCCTGGGGGCCAGAAGCTCAAAGTGCCCGCCAAAGCTCCAAGCCGCGTCCAGGTAGAGACCAAGGTACTTCAACCTGTCTCCCACCCGGACGGAGATGTCACCCACCGCGACATGGGCGTCAGCGGGGGGAGCCCCATGCTCCCCCTTGTGCATGAATAGCGCCTCGGTTTTGTGAGGCGCTACTTGCAGGCCCATGCCGCGGATCGCGCGGACAGCGCACGCTACCCCCACGTTGGCAGCCGAAACTGCTTCCCCCCAGCTCTCTCCCCCGGCCAACAGCAAGATGTCGTCCGCGTAACAGACGACGCTGCAGCCGGGGGGAGGGCAATACCCAACACCCTACTATACGCGAGGTTCCACAGAGTGGGGCCCAACACGGACCCCTGTGGAACCCCACAGTATACGCCTTTTCTGCTTAGGAGTACCCGATAATCGGGGTACTCCAGCCACCTGTCCCGGAAATAACTCCGTAGGACCTCCACCATGTAGGGGGGAAGGCCGAAGGTGTTCGCGGCCTCCCCCACCATACTCCAGGGCAGGGTGTTGAATGCATTGCGTATGTCCAATGACACCGCAAGCACCACCCTGCCCTTCTCCATAATGGACTCCGCGAGGGACCGGACGCGTAAAATCGCGTCGACGGTCGATCGGCCCCCGCGGAATCCATACTGGTCACGGTGGAGGTCCATCTCATCTCGGGACAGGTGTTGGACGAAGCGGTTCGCCAACACTCTCTCCAAGAGTTTTCCCGCCTCGTCCAACAGGCAAATAGGCCTGTATGCAGAAGGGGCGTTGCTGGGCTTGCCCCCCTTTGGGATGAGGACCAATCTGGCCCTCACCCATGCTGGGAGAAATATGCCCTCCCTGAGACAACTATTAAAAAGTCGCCTCAAGCGCCCGGACAGTTGGGCCAAAGCCCAAATTCATCTTGTATGATGATTGGGAATGTCGCCGGCTTAGTCTTGCCGTAAAAAAAAGACCGCCTCTGTTTTGCCAGCTGCTACAGTTAGCCCTAGTCTACGTATTCGGTTTACTACCAACGCTGTTTGCAAATTAACTCTCCTCGTTGCAGTTAGAACCGTGTCCGCTGAAGCTAATACAAGGGTATCATCTGCGTAACAGATTATCTGACATCCCTCCTCCACGCCTTCCTGAAGAACACTATCGAAACTAAGGTTCCATAATAGGGGCCCTAAGATCGAGCCTTGAGGAACTCCAGATGTTACAACTCTAGTTCTCGTGGACTTATTTCCCATCATGAACTCAATGCTCCTTTGATGTAAATAATCATCAAGTATCCGTCGCAGGTATTCCGGGATACCCTTGCGTTCCAAAGCGGTTCTAATAACTCCCCAGGGGAGGGAGTTGAATGCGTTCGTGATGTCCAAACTCACGGCAATTGTAACTCCCCCCTCCCCTGTGGCAGTCTCAATCTCTCTTTTAACACGATACAGGGCATCAGATGTAGATCGCCCCTCACAAAAACCATATTGGTTTTCCGATAGTGTCGCTTCTTGATGGGTGTTCATCCAATCTTTAAGTCTATCTGCTATGATCCTTTCCAAAGCTTTGCCTAACTCATTAAGAAGGCAAATAGGCCTCACCTTAGGAAGATCATCCACAGAGGTTTGTGCAGCTTTTGGAATAAGCACTAGGATGGCTCTCTTCCATTCCCGAGGGAATATTCCTTCCTTAAAACAAGCTTGAAAGCACTCCGTAACCTTGTCCATCATCTCCTCTGGTATATTCTTCTACGCCTTACTCACGATACCATCAACACCAGGTGCCACGTTTCCTGCTGCTTTCTTCTTAACAGCC